AAAAAAATGTTTCGCGCTGGGTTTCTTGCTGGTTCTTCCCAGGACAGGATTTTCCGAACCAATGGTAAAGGTTAAAAAAAATATTTTAAATAAGTATTACATATAATCTATATTACATAAAAAAGATTCTACTCCATTCTATGACAATTCTATACATCAAAGAAAAATAATTTATTTACGAAATATATCAATCTTCTACATGTGGTAGGTAATAATATTTAACGTTGTACGTCTCGTTATCAGAGATAGTATTGACAGTAATTGTAGAATATATTTAATAGTACAGTTATATGTGCTAAAATATTAAAATATTGGTGTACTAGAACATAAAAATTAAAACTAATTAAAATTTCCTATCATATTTTTATTGATCTAAATCGTAACTAACGGAAACTTAGATGTTACTAATTAACCTGAGTTTGGAAAATTTGTTAGTGTTTAAAGAACTTCATTAACACATTATTCGGTTGTTTCACGTTGCTTTCCTGAATGAGACGTACACACAAACAAAAGCTCTCTCCAGTCGAGTTAGCGTAATGAACTGAAGGGAGTTGGTTATATTTGTACAGGGCATTCCGGTAAAAAGACGTGTTGACTTCACATAAATGGGGACGAGTGCATTCACATATGTTCTATAAACTTTTTCTACATTTAATGTAAACAATTAAATATAAGAAGATTGTCTATGAAATAAAAGAGTTTTAGTAATAAAAGCACTTTTCGAAAGAACACAAAAAATAAGAAAAAAATTTCTTTTGTTGTATTCCTGATTTGCGTAGTTGCGTCAATTTCACACTTGAACGAAATAGTAAAAACTACATTAGTATTTTTTAAATAAAACGATCCATTGACATTAGCTGTTTTTTCACTATTACTTGGAGCATAAATGAGTTAGAGATGCTTTAAGCTAAGTAAATCGAATGATTTATTTTAACCGATTATAAAACACATCTACCACCGTGGTACCAATGAAATATCGTAAAAAATCTAGAAAGAGAAGAATTGACATCAAAATGTTTATACATACTTGAAGTCTTTATAATTTTATTTTATTTCAGAAGCCAACAACATAATCTAAACAAATCTGGTGTGTAATTTTAATATTTCCTGGGAAAAAAACAAGTCCAGGGAAAGAAAGCTAATTTAACGATTTTTAGAATTTTTAACTATCTATCGGTCTGGATAACACTTAGGCTACTTTTTATGCGACCGCGGAACTGAAAAAAGAGGCTTATATTTTCGTAATGTCTGCTGATGTTAGAATCATATAGGGATTTACGCAGAGCTTTTACGATTTACTTTATAAAATAAATATAATATAAAATATATTTACCGTAATTTGAAAACTATGGCGATGATCTACAATGTAAGTTTCGGAAGAGGTGCAATCTATTACAAAATACAAGAATTTGCTTACTAAGAAAATAACTAACTAGTTAATTTTAATAGCTTTAAAATAAAAAAGTCTATAAAATTCAAAATAATATTTCGTATTCCAAAAACAAACCGTGTAGTGGCGGTGTAAGAATATTAAATACCCGATATCATCTTGTGGGTATCCCACGAAGTTGTCAATAAAGAGAAACTGAACCAGGAGAAGAGCAGCAACACTTTCCTGATAATAGATACATTGCTAAACGTACCAACTATGGCAATCTATGGGCGAGGCCTACATTTAGCATTGAACTTTTGCTCGCATATGCTGCAATGGAAATCCAAAAGCAGTTCCCGCGATTGATACACATATTATGTATATTGTTTTTAGCGTAATCAGCTAAAGTTAATGTTTTTTTTTAAAATTGCCCATCTGCAATTCTATCAAAATAAAACAAATATAATAATTTCTTTAACAAATTAGAAGAGCAAATATTAATTGACTCTAGAACAACAACGAAATAAACAAATGACAACAAAAATCCATTAAATGACGATGATTTTGTATAAGAATCACTAATATCAGTAAACTTGACTTTTTGTTTTCAGCTCGTTTAACAACGCGGAGGGTAGCAGAGTCGGTGGAGTGCAGCGGCCGGTAGCGCGACGCATCAGAGCTGTATGTCTGTTCTGTTTACACAGCATGGTGCGCGTGAGTCGACGCGCAGCGTAGACCTCGTCCTCTCCCTTCACCGACCACACCGCCCGCATCTATGCCCATTCCACACAACACGTCAACATACACTTTGGAATTTCAAATATCATACGCATGCTTAACTTTTGATTGCATTCCATTGGTGACCCTTTTAAATGTATGTTAATAAAATATTCGCTTCTTTTCTTCTATACTTAGTCAATATCAATTTTCATCACATTCAACAAAATTTCAAGATGTATTATGTATTATTCAATAAAATTTTAAATGTTATTTTGTAATTTGATCCAACAAAATCGAAATAAGAAATACCATAATATACTTTTGTTCTCTAATCTGAGATATGCTATTACCACATTTCTAGGGAGTTCCCGCTTTATTGTTAGTTTCTTCACCTATTACATATATTAACTATTTGAAAACAAGGAGCTAATTTCGGACCGATTTATTTTAGAAGCAGGAAGGGGAAATACTGTGCATATTTTAAGTCGAACTAACCATTAGACGTTTGGAAGCACCCCAGTGAAATCATAAAATCTTGTACGAACATGGCTAGTTTTAAAAACGTTTCCTCTTTTTGTAATAATTTAAAATATTGTTGTATTAAATTTGGTGGTAACAACAAAATCGGTATGTTAATATTTAAAAAAATAAAAGACTTACGACACCAATAATCCTCAAAACAAATAAAAACAAGAAATTACATCTTTTTAAATTATTCCTGTTTTATATAATAAAAGTAAAGTCAATAATAAAACTGCAGTATTATTATGTAAATAAATAAAAACAAGCAGTTATCGATAAGGACTATCGAATTTTAATTAATGATAACAATAAATAGAACGCTATGGCGTAATTTGAAAGGAACTACTAAATCCACATTGGGCACACGTATTGTTATCTTTATTATGTTTTTTATGACTTCCTCTTAAGTATTTTATATTTTATGCGTTGTAAACAATCGATGGAAATATAGGGTTGTATCTGCAAAGTACGCACGACAAGTAAAAAATATCAAGTTTCATTTTTAGTTATAATTTTGAGTCGTTTATAAGTTTAGCAACAAGGATGTTACAGCCTTACATTGGAAGTGTTTTGTAGAATTATATTAATGATCAAGGAATATCTACGCAATCTAAATAGTTGGATGACGCATGGTTGAAATTACGTTTTACGTTGTTTACTATCATTTTTAACTTCGCTTTGAATATTTATTTTAAGACGAAATAAAAGAAACTGTAAGTACAAATATCTCAATTTGTCACAGTAAAGTTAATGTGCGCTATTATTTTTCTTGATGCAATTATCATAATTAACTTTACAGGTGTAAGAGCTTCACAAAAGAACAATTCCATTAGTAAAGTTAAAATTCAATTCACAATCTTCAATTCAATTCATAAGTATATGATGTATAATTATAATTTTAGACAATTTTAATTGATTAATAATTGATACTAAGACTGACTGATACATTAAATCAGTTCAAATGATCTAAAATATTCCGCATGTACTGCTTTTGACTGTTATCAATCGCAGGTACGGAATTTGAGCATGAGTCATCGTCAAGTGGCGCTTATGTTTCGGGAACGGAGCTTAGAGGGAAAGAGACAGTACAATGTACCACCATTCAGATTTAATTGACTGGTTACGAACTCGTACCCTGTCGTAGGGACGAGCGTTACTTAACATCGACTTTCTAAAAATTCCAAATAGTTTGTTATTCAGTAACTGTCAATGAATAGAAATCACACTGGAAATACTTATCTCCACACAATTCTATATTGATATACTCTCCATTCCAAGATGTTGGAAATATTATCATTTAATTTAAAATACCTTCTAAAATAAGCGCGGTTGACACATTATTATTTTTATTTAAATATTATTTCTGTAATCGTCAAATTAATATAAATTTTTAAATTAATTTCGCTTACAAAAATAATTTAGTATCGATAAAGACGAAAAGCACTTTCACATCGGTATATCAAAGACAAAAACACGTAATAAAAGAATGGTGGGGAATAAAGATAGTCCTTCTGAAATGCATTTAACTGTAACGCACGATAAACTGCCTAGGTATATAATTCTCACGTTATTAAAAAAGGACGCAAAGAGTTACATTCCTTATTGTAAGTAGTATAGAGTGGCTCTTACATAACTACGAGAAGAATATACGCATTGCATACGGGTCGTAGAGTGCGAGCTCCATAAATGTAGTCGTATGATTAGCATAGTAAACAATTATACTACGAACGACGTATCTTGCTTGATAAATCGTTTACAAACACCTCTCTAAACTTATTGTAACTAATAACTCCTCGTTCATGTTGAAAGTAAATATAAACATACATTCCTATATATTATTAATATTGGACAAACATTATAACACAATATTGAATTTTTAGTAATTTAAATTATTTAAGTTTCTCAAATTCCAATTTACTAAATGTATTTTCGATAAAATAGTTGCAGGGTCCGTAATACGCACGGTATATCCTTATACACGGATTAATCACTAATAATTAGACGTAACTTGTTGCTGATAATGATAATACGCAAACAAGAACTTACAAAATAAAAATACAGACACGACACCAAGCAAACATGGCACACATATGTCTGACATCAATGAAACGGGACCATTAACCTCAATTTAATTAATTTAAATTCAGTTGTAAACAATTTCTATAATTGCCTTCCCAGGCGCTACGAACACACAGCACATCCGCTCGATAAGGGTCACGACAAGTTCCAATGCATGCAATAGCTTTTAACATAAGTTGATTATAGGAACGTTCACCCCTCACCACGTGCATGGATTAATACAACAAACACACTCGTATACGTACGTTAAAGAAAACACCGAGCAGCGATAGAGAATTTCTACAAAAACATAGGAATTTGTACTTACTTGAAGACGGAACTGCATTTCCGCCTTCCCTCCCGGTCATGTTAGTTAAAATATAACGTAACGTGCACCACTAATATCACCTCTGCGTGTCATACATCCTCCGCAGAAAACAAAAGAACCACTTGGATTACGATAAGTTCATTAAACGTTTAATTTGTTTTTCAAAAATAACAACTCTCAAAATGTTTTCGGTGCATGGGAGTGGGAAAAGACGCGCGTGCGCGCGTAGCGACTAGCGACGCGTACGCAGGTCGACTGCATCGAAAATGAGTGGTAGTGCGGTAGTGGTGAGTAGTCGACGCGGTGATGCGGTCGGTCCCTTCCCGGATATCGTCAAGCTAGTAGTTTTTAAAATAGAGAAGCTAACGGAACGTGTTGCCCGCCCGAAAGCGTCGGCAGCTTTACCCCAACCCGAACCCGAAATATGTCACTTGGCGGCGAGGAGCACCGTCGATGACTTTACGACCAATTCCTTGGCGCATCTACGATATAGGAATTTAGTACTATGAACGATTTACCGAACCCGACTGGGCTGACGACTGCTGTAATCTTTGCATTATTTTCTCTTTTAGATTTTTAGAAATGTAAAATTTCTAATAATCTAAAAGCATTATAATTAAATTGCTATTACTAAGCACAAAAACGTTTAAAAGTAGAGTAGTTTAAAAGTAGTAATTAAATTTAAGGCCACACTACAAAACCACCGATTGAAATATTTTAAGTTATCTTTAATTAAAGAAATGGTTCCAACTTGTAAGAGGCCAAATTTTAGCCCAAAGTGGGTATCTGACTACTACGCCACGAATTCTAAGTTCAATCCCAACCGGAGCCAGCAGAGAAGACACTAAATTGTTAGTTTTCAAATGTGGCAGTGTTGTGATTGCGTGAGTCTTACACTGCATCTTTGCCCTCATCAGTCTACCTGTATTCTTATGGTAAAGCCTTACATTGAACACAGGTAAGTTAGGATAAATCATTGGACTTTGTTTGCATTAAGTAGCTTCCGACTATCCGAAAGTATTGCCGTGAACGAAAATTGTACAGGCGGACACCATGTTACAAATAAAGGGAAATAATCTAAATCAAAATTTAACAGGAAGAGCCAGTGTGAACACTTATGGCAAACTTGAATACTTAGACAAATATCACCGATACCAATATGAATGATAATACTATAAACAAATTCTTCAACCAATTTCTAAAACTAACTGTGTTATTACGTGGTAGAGCCACGCTGCAGCTATATTAGTAGTATAGTTGTAGCACGAATGGGTCGGCTCGACCGGGGAAGGACCACGCTTTCACGGAATACCAGCGTCAAATAGCAGTTTAACACTGCTGTGTTTTGTATGGTGAGTGTAGAGAAGCGAAGACCCTTTTTCCTGGAAAAGAGGCATTCCATCTTAGTCCTCACGAGTGACAACGCATCTGCGTTTTGATTCGCAAACGAAGATAAATGTAGATGTCTATTGGCCACAGCAACCACTTACCATCAGGTGGACTGTGTGGTCGTTTGTTACTCGATCCTATAAAAAAATAAATTAAAAAAAATAATCGTAAGACCCCTTTTCTGCCTAGGACACTGTCGGGGTAGTGGTAGTAAACCTCACCCTCTTACCTATTTTTGTAGCCACATAACATAGCCTAGCCTAGCACTGTTGTGTTCCAATCTGAAGGATATAAAATTATATTTTTTTATTATTTATCATAGTTTAAAATTATCTAAAATTATAATTATTTTATATAATTTTAAACTGGAGATGGTCGCGGTTAATTATGACATTGGGTGGTTGAATACCTCAGTCCTCCGTGACCATGAGTGCTGCAAAGTACTCGAGACGTCAGGAATAAATTCCGTTAAAATTACTAGTTTCATTCAATTAATCATTAATAACTAATTAATTAAAATAATCAGGGGCGGATCCATATATGGGCTTTTTGGGCTGCAGCCCAGGGCCCCGTGGATATAAAAAGCCCACAGCTGAATTGAAGACAAATACTGTCAAAGCTTCAAAACTTCAAAAATATTCATGATGATATTATAAAAATTTCATGAGTTTTATGAAAATGAAGATGACTGCGGTTTTTTTTTATAGGATAGGATGACAAACGAGCACACAGTCCACCTGATGGTAAGTAGTTGCTGTGACCCATAGGCATCTACATCTATCCTCGATAAAGAATCAAAATGCAGATGCGTTGTCACCCGTGAGGACTAAGATGGAATGCCTCTTTTCCAGTAAAAAGAGTCTCCGGTTCTCTAAACTCACCATACGAAACACAGCAGTGTTAAACTGCTATTTTACGCTTGTATTCTGTGAGAGCGTGGTCCTTCCCCGGTCGAGCCGACCCATTCGTGCTACAACTACACTACTAATATAGCTGCAGCATGGCTCTACCACGTTTGATTTTGCAGTTAGTTAAATGCAGTGAAATGTTTATGCTAATTAATGAAAATAAACTTGTTTATGTTATCCCAATTACGATATAGTCTTTTTTAACGTTGCCAAGCACTAGCTGAGAAGTGGAGCGTGCTGTCTCCAGGATATCGTATATAGAAAACAAATATAGGACAACAATTTTGAACACTTGACTAAATACTTTTCAGTTCTTTGCATAAATTTTGATTTAACAGAGAACTTACATTGTGATAACCAAATAACGGAATTCGCAACGCAAAAATCTAGCTTTTTATAATTTATTTCACATAAATAGACATAAAACCCGTCAATTTCTTTTTGCAATAATGTCTTACAGTTGATGTTTGTCCATCTAAGTCATATTAAATAAATAAAATATTTCATTGTTCTAATTGTTTCCAATATGGTTTCTAACGGTTTTCTATAGTGATACAATATATCATTATAGAAAACCGTTTTTTGACAAAATAGCCTTTAGTTTGATGGATTAGGTAGGCCCCCAAGTAGTATTAGACCAGGGCCAGTAATTTTATACGTGGTAGAGCCATGCTGTAGCTATATTAGTAGTGTAGTTGTAGCACGAATGGGTCGGCTCGACCGGGGAAGGACCACGCTCTCACAGAATACCAGCGGAAAATGGCAGATTCACACTGCTGCTGTGTTTCGTATGGTGAGTGTAGAGAACCGGAGACCCATTTTACTGGAAAAGAGGCTTTCCATCTTAGTCCTTATGGGTGACGACACATCTGCATTTTGATTCTTTATTGAGGATAAATGTAGATATCTATGGGTCACAGCAACCACTTACCATCAGGTGGACTGTGTGCTCGTTTATCACTCTATCATATAAAAAAGGCCCAAACAAATTCACGGTCCGCCCCTGAAAATAATGTTCAAAGCTTAAATGAATTTTTTTTAAATTTAAAGATGACTAACACTAAAACTTTACCGAATTTTTTTATTTAAATTATGACTAATTCACACTTTTTTATGGATTAACTTTACTACCTACATTTCTCTGATACCATTGCATTGTCTTTATCTAAGCAATTTATCTGGAAAGTAGCTTTATAGCCTTATATTAAGTTATTATATAGGTATTAATTAACATATCATTAACAAGCAATAATAAGACAGAAGCCCATTTGACGATATGAATTAGACCTGTTTCTCTTCTGTGAAAGCATGTTATACTTTCGAACCCTAACCCTCACCTGCAGTTGCCGATATAGAGTCACCTGTCCATTGCACCGGCGAATATAGGTAGTGTTACAAAACCATGCTTACTAATGAAATAAATACTGGTCGTCCAGATGTGATACAGTAATTAACGACTAGTTAAAATGTATTTAAATTTTAACGTCTCTGTAAATCAATTTAAGCCTTTCTGAATTTTACTCATTAGTAAATTTAATGATAAATACACTTGACAATTATATAGCCTGCCAATATTAAATAAGTCCTGAAATTTTTAAACTTAAATTAGTAAATTCTTAAGCAGAATAATATTAATTATTAATTAAGCTTAAAATAACATTTCATCATTATATTTTCATTTCATCATATTTCGATTAATAATGTTCAGAAATACGAACATTGTTTATCAATAAGCTAGTTCCAAATACGTTGTTTAATATAAATGTACAAGAAACATAACAAGCCTATAAAATATATTTTTGCGTAATGTGACAATATTATTCTCAAATCCTACGAACTTCCTACTTATTACTTACGAACATTCTATAAAATAAAATTTCTGCAGGAATATTTTACAACCCTAAACAATTGAGGAAGTCCCCTCATCAAAACGTCACAATCTGACGAACTTGCCCATCAGGCTTTTTGTCAACCATCTAATCCACGAATGATTATGCACGTATAGCCCAACAATGGCCACTGTACAAGAAAGACAAGTTTTGGAAATAATGAAACTCGGCTGATTGTCACGTTTACTTTCTCCGATGTATTTCTCACCATCATACGCGCTAGCTTGCGAACTAATTTTTCAACGTGTTAATCTATAACGAATTAGCTCCACGTATAAACTTAGATGATTGTTGTATTACTTCCGCTTCTTTATTATAAGGCAAACTCATTTTTTCAAAAGGTAATAAATATTTCTAAAAATATCAAAAACACAATGTTATCAAAATTCTAAATCATTTCATAACTAGGTACTTATTAAGAACAAAACTATACGATTAGTTTTGTAATTATGTATTTAATTAATTTAGTTAATTATGTAAAGGTTTATAAATTATTGACGTTCATGGCAGGCGAATCTTTTAAATATATAGTTTAATTTATATAATTTTTAGGAATACCCTAAGTCCAGCAATAGATTCAAAAGAAAGATTTTATTACTTTGGGTTACTCATCACCCCTTTTCTTAAAATGATTCAGTACTATACTCGGAACTGACTGACTCATGGCAATGGTAACACCTTGCAAGTTAACTTATGACTAATATGTATAACTAATCCTTAAATTTTATTGATTATTTATTAAAATAATGTAAGTTAGATACTTAAAACTGTTTATCAAAACAACGGTTATTTTTCAGTGGCGTCATCTTTAGTTAAACTTAGAATAGAATATATTATGTAGAATGACCATAAAA